AACGCCGAAAAAACAAAGGTTATGGTTTTTGAAAACAAATGATTTGGAAAACCTTTTTTAATGTGTCCAGAAGCTTAAACCAAGGATAAAAACCCAAAAACCATTTGGTTAAAATCAATGCCAATAACCAATGCCGAAAACCGAACGCCATAGCCGAACGCCGATAACCGATGGTTATGGTTTTGGTTAAGCAAGAACCATAGGTATTAGAAACTTAAAAACCATTTATGAAAACACTCATTTGATGCATGAAAAACATATTTTGTTTTGAGCCATGACGTAGAGAGATTGAATGAGCTTGTTACAATAAAACCTAAGTCTTTAGAATACGTCTTCAAAGCGCCAATGTCGCCATCTTTAGCAACGTCAATGCCTTTCTTGTGCTTTTTGTTTCCTCAAGGAACTTTTTCTATCTCTTTGAATCTTTTCATTTTGTTCCATGTTCCCAACGGTTTGTCAATATCAAAACCTAAACGGAAACAAACATTGTCATTAGCTAAATGTCAAAGTGAAAATGTTTTCCAACAATTCCCCCCTTTTTGATAATGACAAACCAAGGAGGGGATATGCAGGCCAAGTTGGGTTTTCAAAGAGAGAGTAATGGTAATCCCCCCTACGTCTTTGAAAACAAGATTCCCCCTCACTTGTTGCATATACACAAACACTTCCCCCTTTTGGCATTAGCAAAAAGAACTAAGTAAAGCTTATAAAAAAAAGTACTCCGTGAGCATTGATGTTTGATAAAAAACATCATTGTTGTATAATCCGGCGAGTTAGACCTCGCGATCATCATCAACCGTCGCACAATCACCAAGCGCTTCTCCTGATCAGGCACTATAGCCGAACAGAGGAGTCATCACGTTCGCAGGATTTGATCCTCGAACGCTGTCCAGAGGTAATCCGTTGCTTTTGTTTCCAAATTCGAGATACATTCTTAATGTTTGAGGATTGTTTGAATTGTTGATTCATAACTGAACGTGTGATTTCGTGCTTTTCAAATCTGAGTCCTAATCTCTTATTTGGACAATATTTTCCTGTGATCATGTGTTTAAATTCTGAATAGATTATCACGATCATGTCCCGAGAGTAATCCCTCTCTTGTCTGGTGGAAATTTAGGATCAGTTCTTAGGCATTTGTGATCATTGCAATGATTCGAGGTTTAGACAGTTGTTGAAGGTTGTTCAATCCTGCTTTGTGCTCAGCTATTCAAATCTGTTGGTTGTAGGTCTCATGCCTCAATTATGCAGTCTGAAATTCTTATTTGGGGTCAAACAACTGGCATATAGTGTAGTTGGCTGTCCAAGTACATTGTATGTTCAAAAGGTTTTTGTAACTGAATTCATGCTTATTTTAATTTGCATCAGGCTCATCCTGAGATTATTAATGTAGGTACAGGTCCTTAGGCAGTGCTCATCTCTCTTAAGGGCTGATTTTTGAGGTGGAGATTTAGTTTCTTGCTGAGAGAGCTAAATCTCACTTTAGTTCAACAACTTGTCTAACTGAGAATCTGATTTTTTTACCTTGATCTGAACAACTGATCTAATTCCACCAGACAAGCTTGCTCACTCTATTTGATAACCACAAATCTTTACCTGATCTTCTCTCTCATTCTTTGATCTGTTCTCATTGTTTCTGTTAGAATCTATTTTCATTACGTCGCATTAGCATCTTATGAACAACCCCCCCCCCCCTTGCGTGTGTGTGTTGTGGAAACTGAGCAATAAATCAAGAGAAGAAATAATAGAAGACAAATCTCCCTGTGGAAGAATGACCCTACTTACCACTTTGCTACCATTTTTATAAGTGTGTAGTAATTGGGGAATAGGTTAATTTGTTGTCACCTGACAAGTGGCTAACAAATTTTGGCGGCGTTGCTGGGGATTTGATCTCTTCTATCTTTTCTAACTGTCATACTAGGCCTTTATAAGTTGTTTTTGTGAACATCTGTGTCTTTTATACATTGATAAAAATTCACCAAAGTGCAAACTCTTCTTTTCTACTGTGACTCATTGTTGAGTTGGCACTAACCCTTGTTTTAAGTGTTGTGTCAGTATCTGCCTTTTGATGCAGTTAAGAAGTGGTTTGGAGACCACAAGGGTAAGTGTTGAAATTAATTTGGAGAATCAGGTCAGTTTATCTGAGGTTGCTACTTCTTTTGATTCTGAATTAGAATCTGAAACTGAGGTAATTGTTTCTCCTTTCCAATCACATAATAACATGGTAACTTTAAGGAAACTAGCTGCACCTGACCTTCAGACCCAGCCCATGTCCATTACATATGCTGTTTTGGAAAAACCATTGAAATTAAACTCTGGATTTTTGAATATGCTTCCCAAGTTTCATGGCCTGCCTGGTGAAGACCCTTATAGACATGTTAATGAGTTCCTCATAACATGTGCAGCCATGGAACTTGAAGGAGTTCCTCAAGAGCAAATCAGACTTAGGGCCTTTCCCTTTTCAGTGATGGATAGAGCAAAAGATTGGCTGTACTATATGCCTCCAGGGTCTTTTACAACCTGGCCATCACTGCATAGGGCATTCTTAGAGGAGTTCTTCCCTGCCTCTAGAATAGGATCTATTAAAAAGGATATCTGTGGGATAAAACAACTGGGGAATGAATCATTTTCTGAATATTGGAAGAGATTCAATAAACTCTGTACTAGTTGTCCTCAGCATCAAATCTCTGAACAGCTGCTCATCGAGTACTTCTATGAAGGGTTATCCCTAATGGATAGAAGTATGGTAGATGCTGCCAGTGGTGGTGCTTTAGTTACTAAGACCCCAGAGGAAGCTAGGAATTTGTTCAATCTTATATCTCAGAATACACAACAATTTGGACTTAGGATTAATGAACCAAAAAAGGAAACTGAATCTCTTGCAGCCCTCACTGATCACATTGCCAATCTCACCAAGATTATGGGTCAAATTGTTAGTGTGGGGGGAATCAAGAAGTCAGTTTGCTCTGTGTGTAGTCTAGAAGGGCATACTTTAGAAGTGTGTCCTAATTTTCAAAATCAAATGTTTTCAGCTCCTGGTTTTCAATCAGAAAATTTTCAAAATTGTGAGGTCAAAGCTGCTTTTAACAATCAAGGACAGAGAAGGTATGACCCCTACTCCAATTCCTACAATGAAGGATGGAGGGATCATCCAAATCTGAGATATGGTCCCAGACCAAATCCCCTAGGTTTTCAAAATACAAACAACAACAATTTTTTTGCAAATCTAAACAACCCTCCTGGTCGTGTTGATAAAACACACCAAATGCTGGAAGTAATTTTGAAAAAAATGGAGGACAAGTTCTCCCTGGTTGATTAGAATATGAAGCGAATGCAAGAAAGGCAAACAGCCCAGGATACCTTGTTGAGTAATTTGTAGGCCCAAATTAACATCAGGTTACCTGCTCAACCATTTCCTGCTCCTAAGGAGAATGTGAGTGTTGTTGTCCTTAGGAATAACAAGGTACTTCCTGAACCTTCCTTAGGGAATGTTAGAAGGGATCAAGAAATTATGGAAAATGAACTAGACT